AGTGCTGGGCTAGAAGACCAACTTGAATTAACCAAATTTAAGCACTAAAATTAGTTTTAAAATAAGGCAAAATGCAAAAACTCCTTTTAATTTTCTCAAATTTGCAAACAGAATATGGTAAATTACCACGCGTGCTATTATAAAGTCACACAAAATGTCACTGTTGTTATTATCCTTTAAATTGGATGGGAATGGACTATATTTTGACCAATATGATGGTTTTTTTGTATGGACCAAATTACCCACCCAAAAATATGTGGACGTACCAATTATTGGGGCTGAAACAGAGGGACATGAGTTGATATATATATATATATAGATTTTAAGTCTTAATTAAAATTAGAATACTTTTGTTATTTAAAATTTATTTTTTTATCTTTATTTCTTCCTTCTCATTTTATAAGGTTAACTATGTAATTTCGCAACTTTACTGACATTTGAAAGCCGGAGATAGAGTCATCTGCAAATGCCATAGGTGGTGCATTTTTACCTTGCAACAGGGATGTATGAATTTCTTGAAAAAAATAAAAATAAAAAATAAAAAAATAAAAAAAATAGAAAGGTGCTAGCTTGCTTAAAATAAACAAGTTGAACCAATAGAATAAAAATTGACTTTTTCCTTTTTTGTTTAGAAAAAAAAAATGATAAGTACTATTATGTCAACTATTTTATATGGATGAAACAAGTAACAAAAACAACTAAGTGCTAGCTTGCTTAAAATAAACAAGTTGAACCAATAGAATAAAAAATTGACTTTTTCCTTTTTTGTTTAGAAAAAAAAAAATGATAATTACTATTATGTCAACTAATTTATATGGATGAAACAACTAACAATAACTGGGAGAAAAAATTTGTTGCAATACCTATGAATGATAATAAGAGAGTAGAATTTAATAATACTACCACAACTCATCTATTATATAAAATTTAACTTTTAAAATTATATTTAATAATTTTATTCCATGTGTTAATAAGATAGATGGTGGAAGTAGACAAGAAGAGAGATTTGGAGAAGCTCTTTGTCCATAAAGAAAATTGTATATGCACGAATATATATATATATATATATATATATATATATATATATATATATATATATATATATTTGTTTTTGGTGGGTTGTTGTGAGCTGTTGGTGTGAGCCGTGAGAATCAGAGCATCTTTGAAGTATCTTTTTCGTTTGAGATGAACCTGCTGCAAATTAAGGTGATTTATGATATTAAATGGTCATGAATAATTATGAAGTTGTTCAACTATAAGGGATGATCATTAATTGCGTATTTATATTTGTATCTAATGACTGGTTCTGTGCAAGGTGTTCTCCTTCGGAAATATAATGCAACTCCTTTAACTTTCTCAAATTTGCAAATAGCCCTCTAGACTATTCATTTGGTAAATAAACCCTTATGCTATTATAAAATCTCACAAATATTTTTCTCCTTTAAATTGGATGCAAGTGGAATATACTTTGAATTTTTTTTTTTTTTTTTTTTTTACCAATATGGACTTTTTTAAGGACCAAATTACTCGTACAAAAAATACATTTCCACGTATATTGGGATTCAAACAGTGAGACATGAGTTGAGATATATATTTGAATAGTAGATTGTTTTAAGACTGCATTTAAACTTGGATACTTTTGTTATTTCAAATTTATTTTATTTTACTTTATTTGCAGCAAAAGTTTAAAGATTGAAATAACAAGTAAATCTTGGCGATTTTATCATGATATGAGAAACGAGCCATGGAATTATCATCTTTATTTTTAATGGGCATAATAAAACCTATGAATTTTACTTGCAATAATTTCTTTGACTTCTGTCCTTCAATCTTTTATTGTTCAAATTCTGCGTATGACAGCAGTAAAAATACATTGAAATTATGTTTGGAAGATTTTGAATTCGATTTTCTCTTAATTTCAATTGCAAAGTGTCTGATTGGATATTTCCAAATGCAATACGAGTAGTTTGTATAATTTTGTGGAATTGATAATCTAAAAATAATTCCACGATTAATATCTTGAAAATAGTGAATATGAATAAGTGATTAACTGAATCATCTCGTTGTTAGCATTTATGACAAAGAGCTAGAAGATGCCTTTCTTATTCAAATTCACAATAGAAGGAACCAAATTATTTTGATTGAAAAGAAAAACAATTATTCATTTAGGAATAATGAAATATTGACATTAATTTCTAGCATCAGTCTTCTGATGAATGTAATTACCAAAAGCGGCAGTAATATCACATGTTATATTGTAATTGAAGAAAAACCTGATTTTTGAATTATAATTATCCCACGTAAGACTAGAGACTATGTCGAACAAACTAATAATAAGAACAATAATACATAAAATATAAGGTAAATTTATGAGCAATTCAAATATCAATTAAAGTTTCTTTAATTTGTTTTTTATTTTTTTTGATGGGCTCAAATCAAGTGTATGCGGGGCATGTTTGATATGCGTTTATGTTGTGTGTGTGTGTGTTTTCTCTTTTTGGACCGGATATTGTAGCATTGTTTTGCGCTACAACATGTTATGTAAATAATGATTTATTTTGTAGGGTACTCAAACACGTCATAAATAGTAATTCAAAGTTAAAACACCAATTTGTGTTTTTACGTATTGTTGCACCTGTGATACCAACATGGTACCGATGAATAATACCATTTCTTTTCTTTTCTTTTATTTTTTTATAAAAAAATCTTAAATAACATTTTAAAATTAACTTTTATATTTTTTAAACTTATAACATTTTTCTACCAAATATGTTTCATATTTTTAATTGCTTTCGAAATCTTGCAAAAAATTTTACATTATTAAACATACTTTCAACTACTATTAAATACACTCCACAACAAATACTTTGTTTCTTTTGGAATAAAATTAAAAACACAAAACAAAACGATTATCAAACAAGCACTTAAAATGTTTTCAGGGGCATAGCGGAGTTGGCAAGAATTTAGGAGGTAAGTCTTTGGGGTCTCGCTTTTGAATCGTACTTTTAATTTAAATGGTGCGTGTATACACATACTGAAAAAAAAAAAAAAAAGTAACTAGGGGAGAAGAAAATGAAAGGATTGCAATATTTTAGTCATTTAAAAAGATGGTTAAGAGAAAAAAAAGAAAAAAGAAATAGTTATTACGTTTTATGAGTATAAAGACAAAACCAAAAAAAAAAAATTATTTATTTATTTGTTTCATACAAAATAAGAATTTACGGCTTCAAACTAAGTCACACAGAGCCGATATAAGAACAAGAAAAAAATTAATAGTGGGAACATGAAAGCAGCAGAATCTAAGTTACACAAAATTATAACGAGAGCAAGCAAGAATTTACGTAAAAACCAAATGATATTCAAAACATTAGAACAATACCCGTTAAAAAAAAATTGTGTACTTAATTTCAAATACTACGTCTTCACAGAGAAAGATTTAGAAAGTACATTACGTGAAAGTACATTACGTGGACTCTCTCTCTCTCATATTTATCTCTCAAAACTATATACCTATTATTAGAAGGTATATAGATCTTTATTATTTAAAAAAAAAAAAAAAATACAAAGATAAACTTTTCTTTCTTTTCTTTGTGGACTCCCTCAAATCAGAAAGTAATGTCAACATCCAATTGTCATACCATGCCTTAGATTACTGTGGGCCATATAATATTTTTTGTACACTGCAGTTTAAGGCCTTTAGGTCCACTAAAACCTAGATCTATTGGCACGGGAGGTATCAGACTATCAGGTATGTCTCCTCCTAAAAGTGAGTTCATCTTACATACATATACATATATATATATATATATATATATATATATAGTGATAGGAGCCGTTTCTCTCTCTATAGTGTGTGTATATATATACAGTATATATCCTCTATGAATGTATCAGAGAGTAAGCCTCGTTAGATCTGTTCACTTAATCCAGTTATGAGGACCATTTTGTGAGCCATTTTGTTAAAAACTAGTGTAAAACTAATACCAAAATTAATAGAAAACGAAAACAAGAACACAACCTTGTTTAATTTAAGCCTCGGTAAAATGTACAGTATTATCGGATTTGACACTTTCTGTCAAAAATATCTTTAGAAGCTAATTTAATTCCTATTATAAAATTCTTATACAACCAAGTTTGCATATATATAATACATTTCAAAAAATAAAAAAAAATTAAAAAAATTGCAAATGAGTATGCAGTCAAAAGATGATGGAACAAAAAAGGACCAACTGCCGAAAAATAAAATAAAACAATATCCCAAATATTCTCAATTTATATAAATTTGTATCTGGAAAAAATATATATATATATTATGTGATAATTTAAAAAAAAGAACCAAAAGAAAAAAAAAAAAAAAGTAGCTGATCAAAATATTAACTTGGACACAGAAGTTCCTATCTTGCTATTATTATCACTTTTGTACGTTGAATTATCATTTTTGTGCATATAAATATCTTTAATTCATTATGCAAATCTTAAGTCACACAATCTTTTTTAACAGGTGTAAATATCTCATGCTTAGCTTCTATTATCACTTTATGTGACTTAGTGCAAACTTGCTCAAAATTTCATTTTTCATGAATATAATGTCATCCACGTGCGCAAAAATGTAAATAAGACTGGTAAGATAATTTACACAAATAAACCATACTTTTCATATCTTCATCAATATTTTGATTAATACCGTGACACAAAGACTCCAAAACTTACCAAACTCTAAGCATCCAATTCTACTAACCCACCTGTCCAGTATATGCCACATCCTATCGATTTATCATTCTGATCGAATTAATGGTATGGGTACCATCATAATAGCTGTAATTTCTTCTATTGAACCAGGTTCTTCCCTTCCTTTCCCCTATCTCTCTCACACACACACACACACATAATTATATATATATATATATATATATCACAAACACGCAGGAAAATCACAGACTTCACAGTTCGTACGGGAAAAGAAACACAAAATATAAGAGAACCAATTAACTACACACATGGGGAAGAAAGATAACATGATTACTGTCAAATTTGCATCTGAACAAAATGTATAAATAAACACCAACACACATATCGATATGCGTAGGGAGAGCCAGCTAAAAGGCCACAAACAGCAAAAATATTCACAATTTTAAGGCTGTTGATCATCTAGATCTAAGACGTGGACGGTTCTGATTAGGTTTTTTTAGATAACTACTTATATTCTACCGACCCAAACTCAGCGCAGCCTTGACGTCCAACCTCCATGCACAACCTCCACCGTCCATCCTCCACACATCACACGGCAACGTCAGTGATCTCTTCTCCATCTGCAGCCTCACCCTGCACGTGAACGCAGGGAATCCCACCGGCACTCTCTCTTTCATCACCAACCACACCACCACCGCCTCTCCACCACCACCCTGGCCCACCATATCCTTGTACGCCCCATTGGCCCACCCCACCAGATCCAAACCGTCCGATACAAACCCCGGACACGTGTCCCTCTCCAGATTCATCATCCTCTCCTCGTCCGTACACCCCAGCCCATCCCCTTCCACCCACGTGTCCGTCACGCACTCCACCGTCACCACCGTCCCCACCACCCTCACCGGCCGCGGCGCCACCACCGCCGTCCGATCTAAACCCTTTCCCACCACCACACGATCATCATTATCATTATCATCATCATCCATAACCCCGTGATTGTTAAAGCTCAACCACATCGGTCCACTTTTCCTCGCCGGAGATACTTTCCGGTCCGGAATCTCCGGCGACAACGGCAGTGTCACCACCGTGTCGCCGCTGGAATCTGACCCACCGCTGGTGGTTTTGTCAGTTTCCTCCGAAGACGCCTTTCTTTTTCTGTTATGATAAGACCTTCTGTTGTTAGAATCTTTGACGTACCTTCTCTTGCATCGTCCACTTCTGACGTACACTTCGTTGTTCCCCGGCGGAGAACCGCCGGAAACTGACCCACTGGTGGCTGGTTTTGGCGCGATCGGTCGGAATCTAAGCATTATACGGTCGACCTTTGACATATCGTACGCAGCAGCACCACCACCACCGGCGCACCGCGCGATACAGCACCCTCCTCTTCCGTCCATCACTTTCTCTCTCTAAACTCTCTCTCTCTAGAAAATGCACTAAATGCAGAACTAGAGAGGAGTGAGCCATGTCGATAAATAGGAGCTTGAATGTGCGACGCGTGTGAGAACCTAACACGTGTGCCAACAGAGGATCTAACAGCACAGAGAGTTGATTGGTGGGAAGTGAGACGTGGCACCGAGGAGGTGGTGGCCCATGTGACAGGAACGAATAGAGGAGCGCTGTGATTGGCCCAGAGGCTCGACCAATGGGAACGTGATGAGTGTCTAGTACTGTAGCCAAAGTGGGACACGTAGGGTTTCAGACCTCGTGAGTCGTGTACAGTTTTTTCGTGAAAGTATTCTGAGGAGGTGGTGGGGTTTCCAGAAGACGACTACGTCATCCAATCGTATTCTGGATAGCAATGAAGCCCTAGACTTGGGACAAGATTGCGCCACGTGGACGGTTGATGATAAGATATGTCAAGGTATATGACCTCATCAAGATAAAACTCTCTTTCTGATGTGAATCCGGATCCTCTGATCGAGTATTGTGAAACGTCCAATATTAGTACATTTTTCGTGTAAACTATAACTTTATAAATTAGGCTTAATTGCATGAACATTTCTTGATATTTTGGCCAACGTTACTTAGTAATTGGTCAACGATTTTGTTTACATTGATAGTTTCAAAATCATACATCCACACCCTTTCGTGCGTAGAAAAAGACCTAAATATCCTTTGACTAGTCAACAATTATTTGTAAGCCATGAAATTACCTGAATGCCCTTTCTAACGTATATATAACTATATATTATATATGTGACTATATATATACATGTAGTGGTTGGCGGCAGTGATGAATTTGGTTCATGGCGGCTCTCTCTCTCCCCAAATTGAACAATTTAGTTGGATTATGCATAATCAAATACATGTGTAGATGGTGGTGGTAGAAGTGGTGGGGGGTGGTGGTGTGTGTATGTATATATGGGTTTCAGATTGAGGGTATGCAATCGAATTGGGTTTGATTTGGGGTTTCTCGTTGGGGGTGGTAGCAGCGGATTGAATCTTGGCCTCACGAGGTGGCAGAGCAATAGCTCAACGGCGGTGATGCTTATTGCTGGGGGTAGTGTCGTCACGGCCTATTTTTTTCTTAATTGCTAGGGCTTTTATGCGGTGGTTGAGGTGGCGATGGTGCTTGTGGGGTGGATGTTACGGTGGTGAGTGGAGAGAGAGAAAGCAAGGGGTGGACAGTGGTGGAGTTACCGATGATGGGTGGTGGTGATGATGGCGAAGGCAATGGTGGTTAGTGGTGAGAACAGGTCGACGATGATATAGGTATGGTTGTGGGGTGGATGTTGCGATGATGAGTGGGGAGAAAAAGGGGCGACCGATGGTGGCAATAATGGTGCTTAGTGGCAACGACGGTGTAGGTGGTGATGATGGTTCGTGGCGGCTCTCTTTCTCCCTCATCATCTTTTCTAGTGTTGGAGGGGGAAATTTTTATTTTTTTTTATTTTTATTTTTATTTATTTATTTTTTTCTCATTGTAGAACTTAGCCACTACCTTGAGCACTCGTCCATTTGGTTAGACGGAAAATTTTGATGGAAAGTGAAAGTGAAAGAAAATAAAATCAAGTTTCCAACATGTATTTGATTAACAGTAAATTTTTTGAAGAAAGTTGTGAGAAAATTTTATTTTGGTAATTTGGATAGCATGAAAAGGAAAAGAAAATAATTCCACTTACCGAAAATACCCTTATAATTTTAAATAGTATAAAAATAATAAATTTGTGTTAGAGGAATAGTATTTATACTTAATTATTTATTTTAGCAAAAAATAGTGAAATATGAAATAGATTGTGATATCATAATTCAATTTTTTGCATTCTTCTTTATATAATTGTGTGTGTATATATCTACATTCACTTGAATTCATGATCTTTTATTTTTGAATCACCTTATACCTAATTGTTTATAATTATTATTAAAAATAATAATATAATATAATTATTTCTATTAATATGTAAATTGTATCTTACAAACACAATAATTATAAAACTCAAATCTCGAGGTTGTAAGTTTCCAATCAAATTAATAATTCTAATAGCCTACAACACCAACACTAATCCTAATTTTTCAATAAACTAAAAAACGTGTATGTATACCACTCAATCTCAATCATTATTAATTATGGAACCCAAAATAATTGAAATAAAAAATTAATTTTATATGCATATATAGATATATAAATAATTAGATAAGGATTATATCAATTTACAGAAGAAAATCTACCTTTGCGTGAAGTTTGTGAAGGAATTGAAGAGCAGAGAAAAACAAGGAGAAAGTGGAGAAGAGTGAGGGGAGAAACAACTGACAAGGGCACAAGAGAAACAAAGATACAAAGTTGTTAAGTTTTGCGAGAAAGCAAATTTTCGTGTGTTTTGTACGAAATTTTTTTTAGGAAAAACTCACAACATGCGAGAATCTTACTTTTACCAAAGTTTTCACTTTCCATCTAACCAAACGCATACAAATTTTAAATTTTTTCCTTTTCTTTTCATTTCTAGCTAGTTCTTACTAACCAAACGAACCATCAGGGGGGTTATTTTTGTCATTTAACATGCTTGATATATATATATATATATATATATATATATATATATATTTATAAAATTGAATTAAAAATTTAGGAGCATTTATGTCCTTTAAAATCTGAGGGGGTGTCAATGTAAATAATGTCGTTGACCAACCGCTGAATGGCGTTGACCAAAACCTCAGGCGGTGTCAGTGTAATTTATCCTATAAATTATATCATCCTGTAGTTAATATTAAAATGGTGTTATGATAAAAACTCAATCATCTTACAATACAATGATATGATCAAAGTTATAACAAATTGGTGTGATTTAAAGTAAAAAGAATTTTGGTACGTAACTTTGATGGTAAAATTCTCCTACAATTTTTTTAAAATGTTAGATATAAAGCTTAATATTTATACAAACAAGAAGACGAATGGACCTTAATAGTATTACTCAACAATCCCGTGTTTGTGGGAAGGATGGATTACATTACATGTGACTGGAAGTAAATTATAAAAATGTTTAATGTGTGTGTGTGTGTGTGTCTATATATATATATATGTGTGTGTGTGGTTTGGAAATGAGAATTGGAGAAAAAGTTATTTAAGTGTTGACGGATATGTGTTCAAATCTAGGAAAGTTGGGTGTTTGATTTTATGGATAATGACATTTGCCCAACTTACCAAAAGGAGGGCATTAGGTTGCCTGGTTTGAAATAGCAAGTCTTAGGATATCTGTGGTTCGCTGGAGGTCAATAGCGTCACTAGACGTCGTTCAACGAAACATGCTAAGCGAAGAAACAGGGGTAAAAATGTCTAAATACTGCTTGTATCTTTTTCTTTACTTCATTGCATTCCATCTGTATGGTTCGGGACCAATGAACGACATTGATATTTATACCTCAACCATGTTATATAGACTCAATATTTTGGTCAAAAACGCATCCCTAGTGGATAAACATGAACAACTGTAATTGCTTACACATAAAATTATTAAATAATGATAATCGTATTTTTAGAATAAAATACTCGGTTTCAGCATAATCAATCTAAAAAAAGAAAAAAAAATTGAAAATGATTCTTTTTAATTGGTCGGAACTTCGAGGTTATTGATAAATAATAATAATAATAATAATAAAATATTAAAGAATTAAATAACAAACAATACAAGGATACATATACTTCCGCCAATAGTATCTACCACATAAAATTCAAAGCACTACACTTATTTTATTATATTCTCAATTAATTTTGTGTACAAGGCCAAAACACGATTGGGATTTGGGAAAAAGTGAACAATGAGTGATTATATTTTGATTGGAAAAAATAAGAATTCTACAATAAAATTTGGCAAAACTACTGTTGTGATCGTGATGTATTTTTTCAATTTACAAATCCTTAACTCCACCCAATCGAACGACAAATCCAAGTGGACACTCCATGAATATATTCATGAAAAATATATTGATGAAGATATCTAAAATTAATATTCTCATGAATCATTTCTACCAATATTCTATCAGGATAATTTAAAGATGTGGGTGTTATACAATTTGACAATAAGTAAGGTCTGTAAGAAAGAAAAACACGATTCTAAACATTTAATGAAATTTTTTGACATATAGCCAATAATATAAATTTAATTAAAACAATATTTCTATGAATAGAAAGACTTGTTATTCAGGTATGATAACGTTAGCATAGACTGTTACTGTAGAAGCAAAATGGTACTTGTGATATTGGATGTTACGACTTTGGTACCATGCTAATCCTTGTTGCCATTTTAATTATTCCCTCCATCTCATAAAAAAATTATTCACCTTTTAATTTTAGTTGTCCCAAAGTAATTATCCTGGCCAATTCAAATTTTAACGTACTAATTTTTTAATATTCTAATTTACCCCCATTATCTTCAAATTATAAAAACAATTAAATTATGTGGGATCAGTATAGAAGAATGTATTTGAAAATTCATTCCCTATTACTATAATAAAAATATATATTAAAAGTTACACAATTAAAAAGTTAGGTTAAAAAAAAGATTTTTTTTTTTGGTGGGACAGAGGAGTACATCTTAAACATGATCTTGTCAAAATCATTCATGCAAATTATTCATTTATTCCAAAAAGAAAAAATAAAAAATAAAATCGAAGGGATACCAGTTATATCAGACAGAGACAATGTGATACCACCTCTGACCAAGTTTTTTTTTTTTTTTAGTTAAAACCTCTGACCAAGTTGAATGTTTGTAAACACCAAAAGTTGTATAACTTAGTGGTGGTAGTATTTCATAGCCTTTCAAATTTGAAGGTTCAAGTTTTTATAGTGACGCGGGAATGTTTCTTTGTCAAAAATAAACAATAAAAGAAAATTATTGGGGCAAAACCCAGCGGTGACTTTACCTTATTTATTTTTCCGGGAAGTTTGAAATATATATATATATATATATATATATATATATATATATATATGTTTACAG